GTTGCCCTTGAGCATCATCCCTGCTGCTGGCCCATCAGATATGCTCCTTGATAATCTTCTCAAAGAGTTTCCCCAGTCAAACCTCTGTTAGCCACCTGATGAACTGTTTTTGGTCTCAGGGATGTCAAATCACACCCCATGGTCCAGATTTGCTCTTGGCTTTCGGCCTACTTCCAGACTGAATCCACTGGGTAAGCAGCCTCAGTGCGAGAGGGGCCGTGTCAGCACAGCCCTCACTCTCCCTCCTGCCACCAAAAGCCATGTCCAAGAGGGCCCCAAGATTGTGGTGGATCCTGACCTGTGCGAGCCATGCTCCCAAATTCCCTAGCTCATGGGTGCTCTGTTGAGACCCCTGGTCTAGAACTTTCAGACTAATGTCGTAAATTCCTATTTCTATTACAATCTTTAAAGCCCCAAGGAAAACAACAAACAAAAAAATCCCAAGCATGCCTACAGAAACGCAAAGCTTAATATTACATGTCTGCATTTGGTGCCTTTGTGAACTCAAGATGCTTAAGAAAAAAACAATGTTCTGTCTACTTCCATGGCAGTAAGGAAGCACTATTTATTTCACGCTAGGTAAACTGAGGCAGGGAGAGGTCAAGTGATTCATTTAGCATCACTAGCCATTAGACATTGAACCCAGAAATTGGAATGTTGCTTCATATTATTTGTTTCCAGCATCTCTTGATGTCAAGTGTGGAAGCTCCTCTGCTTACATTTAACTACAGCATGGGGTTACCCATAGACAATTTAGAACAAGTTATGCAAGAGTTGATTTAGGCAGCTTCCTAACAGGAGACAGCCATCCTTTACACATACTGATCACCCCCAGATAACCTCAGGGATAATCTGCACTACTCACTCAACAGTGCTGATCGCAGCTAGATGAAGATCCCCTATAACTCCTGCACAGTTCTTGAGAATGAGAGTGGTCTCTGGTTTGTCTGCCATGGTAGGACTCAGGATTCTGTGAGTCTGAGGATCCCGAAGAGGAGTGTGAAAAGTTACCTTTGAGGACAAAATAAAAAGAGATTCGAATATTCTGCAGCTCCAAGATACCACACACCGGGCGATCACAGAAAAAAGCCAGAGTAACCACACATACGTACCTTCATAGATTTTACAACATTTTTTGGTGGCAGATTTTCTTTCTGTGATGGACGAAGAATAGAAGGTCTCCCTGTAGGGTCTGGTGGTGCGAAAAGGAAGACACCGCTTTCTGCTGTTAGTTCATCACTGATGTTTTCAACATTTAAATTCTGCAGACTCATTCTAAGGAATAGGGAAAAAAAAACCTATTTAGGAAGCCATGTGAATGAGAGGGTGTGGTCAGACAGCTGCATTTCCAGATAGTTGGACTCTAAAAACAGTCAGCCAGCCACACACTGGAGAAGCAAGACTAGAACAGCCATCAAACTTGAGTTTTACCAACATTCAAAATTCAGGTGAGGCTGCTTTCCAGTATACTATAGGATGTCATTATTACTGCATTACCACAGCCCCTCTGCTTTTCACAGTACTCAAGAGAATTCACTGTGCATAATATACTTCTGCGATTAACAAGAATCCTGTGATCAGCTTGTCCAGCCTGTAAACCACAACATGGTAATAGCAGTTCCTTCCCAACTTCCTCCTCTCCACAAAACAAAAAAAAGCATTATGTAGTCATCTAGCAGCCATATGACATTACGACTAAGCACAGCCACGGTGAGTGGGCAGAATGCCTGCAAAGTTTCTCTATGCTACTCATGTTATGATCTTATACAAGTGCAAAATAGAGGGAGCTCTTTGATACTTTTATTGACCAGAGTCCTTAATATCAGTTTAGGGAAGTGGTACTGAACACATGCAGGTTTTCACTGCTTAGAGTAATGCTAGTTATTAATCCCAAAAGTTTCACTCCAGTTAGGCACATATGACTGTATGCTCTTATTTTGAATATCATTTTGGCATAAGAAACAGATAAAAATCAATGAACTTCCATACAGTATTACCTTTTTAAAAGAAGCCTACTACATACATCCCTCTACCATGGAAATGTTTTATTAATGCTTTAAAAAAATCAAAGTAATCATTTATAGTACACTGACTTTTAGAACTTGTTCCAAGGGTAAGACTGAAGGAAACTACTTCAGAGCAAAGAGAAAGCAAGCCTTAAACAATATCCTTTACAAGCGACTGTGTGGCAGGCATTAAGACTGCCTATCGCTGGACTAAAGTGAGGCATTATGGTGAAATCTAGAAGATTTTGGATAGATCCAATGAGAAATGTACGGGGACAGAGGCAAGTGAGGTAGATTTCCTGGCTAGCATGAACTGATCTATTGGAACAGCACGGGACAAAAAAAATCTCCCTAGTAAGCATTCTGATAAAATGCTTTTTAACCCTAATTACCAAGTAGGTACAGTCATTATATTAGATGGCAAAGTTGCAATGCTTATTAAAGTTGGTATTTTATAGAAACCATAGAAAGTTAGGGTTGGAAGGGACCTCAGGTGGTCATCTAGTCCAACCTCTGCTCAAAGCAGGACCATCCCAACTAGATCAACCTAACCAAGGCTTTGTCTAGCGGCGTCTTAAAAACCTCCAAGGATGGAGATTCCCACACCTCTCTGGGTAACCTGTACCAGTGTTTTACTAACCTCCTAGTGATAAAATTCTTCCTACTATCTAACCTAAACCTTCCTTTTTCCAACTTCTGTCATCTGCCACCACTGATAACAGTCCAGCTCCATCCTCTTTTAAACTGCCCTCCAGGTAGTTGAAGTCTGCAATTAAATCCCCGCCTCAGTCTTCTCTTCTCTAAACTAAATAAGCCCAGTTCCCTCAGCATGTCCTCATAAGTCATGTGCCCTAGCCCACTCACCATTTTTGTAGCCCTTCACTGGACTCTTTGGTTGCATTTTGAATCATTAAAATAACAGCTTAATTGCTATTGGCCTTTCAATTTCCCAGAGGAAGTCTAGCTGAATTACGGACATGGTCAGTGGAATTCCAGCAACGCTGAAGATAGCAAATTGCTTTAATTCAACATTTGAGTAAGATTTTACCTGTATACATTAGATAATGGCTGTAAGTGTTATTCTATGGTCTATTTATACAATTATGCTCCTGTTATACTTGTGATATTACTGCATAATTGGGTGTAGAATGGGACAGAGCTAAGGACTGTCCGAGCATCAAGGAAAATAAATAGCTTTGAGCATCAAGGACAACAAAAAGTCCTTTTTCAGATATGTGGGGAGCCGGAGGAAAAGCAAGGGCAACATTAGACCCCTACTGAACCAGATGGGGCAACTGACGCCCAGGAAAAAGCCAACCTATTAAATCGGTACTGTGCATCGGTCTTTCAGTCCCATGGGACACCCATGCCCACTACAGGACAGGGAGGTCTGGGTGAGGGAGATCCCCTGCCCTCCATTAATGCTGACCTGGTGAAGGAACATCTTGAGAAGCTGGATACCTTCAAGTCAGCCAGCCCTGACAACCTACACCCCAGGGTACTCAAGGGGCTGGCAAGCATCATAGCTCAACCCCTGGCACGGATCTTTGAGAACTCCTGGCGCTCTGGTGTAGTGCCCAAAAACTGGAAGAAGGCCAATGTGGTGCCTATCTTCAAGAAAGGGAGGAAAGTGGATCCGGCTAACTATAGGCCCATCAGCCTGACTTCTATCCTGGGGAAGGTCTTAGAAAAGTTTATTAAAGAGGCCATCCTTAATGGACTGGCCGATGCCAACATCCTAAGGGATAGCCAGCATGGGTTTCTTGCGGGTAGGTCTTGCTTGACCAATCTCATTTCCTTCTACAACCAGGTGACATATCACCTGGACAAGGGAGAAGAGATTGATGTCCTATATCTTGACTTCAAAAAAGCCTTTGATCTGGTATCCCATGATCACCTCTTGGCAAAACTGGCCAATTGTGGCCTTGGGTCCACCACGATTCGCTGGCTGGGGAATTGGCTCTGTGGTCGGACCCAGAGGGTAGTAATTGATGTAAGTCGCTCATCGTGGTGTCCTGTAACCAGTGTGGTCCCCCAAGGCTCTGTCCTTGGACCCATATTGTTCAACATCTTCACTAATGATGTGGACATT